AGTGTATGTGATGAAAATTCTCTAATTAATCATTTCCATTCTCAAAGAATTGCTTCGCAAGACAGATTTATTTCTCTGTTAATGTTTTGCTCTACGGTGTGTCTGCTATGAAAGCTATATATTCTGTGACATACACTGCTCAACATTGAAAATGCAACACCAAGAAGGAGTGGTCAGAAAGTGATGAAATTTGGAAAAAAGACAGAGACAGCAAGCAGCAATAAGTGATTCTTTATTTCAAAATGATTAGTCAGAATACAGAGCGAGAACGGCGTTCGGCTCAGTAGGATGTAGGACCACCGCAGACAGCGATGCACGAAGAAAACTCGTCTAGGCATAGAATCAATAAGAGTGCGGATGTGTCCTGAGGGATGGTTCTCCATTCCCTTTCAACCATTTGCCACAGTTCGTCTTCTGAACGAGGCAGGGGCAGAGTCTGCAAACGGCGTCCAATCACATCCCACTCATGTTCGATTGGTGACAGGCCAGGAGAGTACGGTGTCCAGGGAAGCATCTGTATATCTTGCAGAGCATGTTGGCAGATGCGAGCGCTGTGTGGTCGGGCGTTATCCTGCTGAAAATTGCATTAAGCAGCCCCTGAAGGTAGGGAATTGCCACCGGGCGCAGTACATTATCCAAGTATCGTTGGGCCGTCATAGTGCCCTGAATACGAACTAGAGGTGACCTGGAATCGTAGGCAATAGCACCCCAAACCATTATGCCACGTTGTCGCACGGTGAGGTATTCCACAGTTACTGCTGGATTGGATCTGTCTCCATGTCGACGACAGACACGTATGCGGCGACTGTCACTGGATAAACAGAAGTGGGACTCATCTGAGAACACGACGTTTTCGCCATTCTGTTATCCACATCGCTCCAGTCCGGCACCATGTGCGTCGGAGAGCTGCGCATTTCACATCTTTCGCATAACTCAGTGACGTGCGTCTGCTCTAAAATTTACATAAATTTTTGACCACTCCTTCTTGGTGTTGCATTTTCAATGTCGAGCAGTGTAATTTCAGAGGTACATTACAGATACATGTAAAACTTTCATTGTCACCTAAAGAGAGATAGAGAAGAAAACAGGCAAATCATATGGGGTTCGCTCTTAAAAAGAATTGTTAAAGAAAAAGAAAAATATTTTTTGAGAACACAGTTCGCATACGCGCTAAAAGTTCCTCAATGTTAATATCTCCGAATCAATAGTTGCAAATCCTGAGAAGAGTCTCGGAGTACATGGTAAGTACTCAGAGACATTAGTAAACATCCTGTTAAATTTGATTTCAGAGTCAAATTCAGAAAATGCTGAAGTCAATATTTTTATGCAGAGGCATAGAACTCAACAATGTCGTCTCTGAGTCCGTTAAAAAAACCTGTAGAGTCATTCTGTGCCGATGTACGAAATGCACTGCATCACAAGCAGCATTTATTGATTACAGTAATGGTACAAATTGTTAAGGATTTTGTGTACATGGAAATGACTTTAGTGAAATTATATGTGAAATAGTATCTTTTGCATAAAGTAACATGAAATGCTTAAAGAAGACCTTGCTATTCCAGGAAATAAAATAACAGCTCAAGTCTGTTTAATATTGAATAAATGGCTATCTCTTTAAATTGACGAGATATCACCAAACTAGCGATAGCTTTGTTAGCCAAATTTTGCGAGTTCCTGTAAACCTGAAATTGGTATTGTGATTGAATAAATGTGATTAATCCTTATGTGTAATTGTAACCATATTAGGCCCTCATATACCTTCCAGTAATTTTGAGAAATGGGAGGTACTAGAGATTTTCTGTGACCGGGGAAAATATATAAAACCGGAGAGAACATCAGTTTCTCAGTTGTTTAGTTCAACGTGAGTTCGGAGTATTGAGAGATCTCCGTAGGAGCTTCGCCTTTTTAGATGCGCTTTTAACTGCGTTGGGTCTCCATCGCAGTTCTTCAGGCAAATGATGTCTGGAGGTCATTGTTACGAATTGACTATCTAAGAGTTTAGTCTTAGTAGTTTGACATGTAACTAGTGATTATGCTCTGTGACGCTGAGAAGAGCTGTATGTGTATTTTTGTTGAAAGTTTCAGAACTGTAAAATGTTCCTTTTCGTAAAGTAAAATTTATCAAGCTATAATTGGTTCTGTGTGTATTCAATCTGTTACGGACCCATAAGTACGCAGCAATGTTTTTCTCATAAAAAACTTTTGTTTACCTAAACAGTCATTAAACAACGACAACAATTATAAGACACAATAACACGCCGAACAAATACTAATTCAGAGGTCAAACAACAAAAATTAGCGTTATATTTTTAAATTTTCACAGCACTAGTTTCGATGGTTTTACCGAACCATCATCGTCAGCTGTAAAAGCGCAAATGAACGAGATAGGATATAACGATCAGATAAGAAAGCCTGGACAGAAAATAAGCTAGTGGCGCCATCTGTTGATGAACCCAGAACTAAAACATAATGTCTTTAAAGGCCGAAGGCAAAAATGGATTGGAATTAGGATCGTTAACTAGAACAGATAGATTTTTTTTGAATGTAAAATGCCTCTAGAAAATCCAGTTCTCCAATGGAAAAAGTTTTTTTTTAATAATTTTGTCAGCGGAAAAATTGAAAGTGTGATTTTCGGACCAACAATGTTGGGCAACAGAAGACTTCTGTTTCCTTTTTTCTAACATATGCCTTATGTTCCTTGATGCGAAATTTTAAGGGTCTCTTAGTTTGGCCAATGTAAATTAATTTTAAAAATTCACGTCAAGGAATATGAGGCATATGTTAGAAAAAAGGAAACACAGAAGTCTTCTGTTGCCCAACCTTGTTGGTTCGAAACTCGTACTTTCAATTTTTCTGCTGACAAAATTATTCAAAAAAACATCTTCCATTGGAGAAGTAGATTTTCTAATGGCATTTCACATTCAAAAAAATCTTTCTGTTCTAGTTAACGAGCCTAACCCCAATCCATCTTTGCTTTCGGCCTTTAAAGAAATTATGTTTTAGTTCTGGTTTCATCAAGAGATGTCGCCACTAGCTTATTTTCTATGCAGGCTTTCTTATCTTATCTGATCATTATATCCTATCTCGTTCATTTTCGCTTTTGCAGCTGACTATGGTGGTTCGGTAAAACCATCGAAACTAATCCTGTGAAAATTTGAAAATATAACGCTGATTTTTTTTTTTTTTTTTTTTTTTTTTTTTTTTTTTTTTTGTTTGACTTCTGAATTAGTAATGACAACAATGAATGTTTTACATAAAACATTTTGAAAAAAACTGAGATTTAAAAAAAAAATTTAACTTTGCTTTGTTCCAATAACAAGCATACTTCTCTTTAACTGATACAGAAAGTACGAAAATATGAAAATATCCAAAGCAAAAACTTGAGTAAAATAAATAATCAGATACAAAAGACTATGATGAATGCACATCATGATACTTTATCTGAACAGAAAAAACAATTAGTTGTAGCTTGATAAATTAGTTGTAGCTTACACAACAGTGAAAGTGTCCTTTCAAAAATGGATACCGTTATCGTATAATATTGTAAAAAATATATGGGATCTTTTCTTCTGAATACAAACATTAAATATTCCATATCACATATAAAACAGAATTTCATTGAGTTTAACTGGCTGAACCGTGACGTCAATCACGCGAATTCCCAGCTGACCAGGCCATCTAATTCCCGAATGTTACGACTCAGCTTTAGGAGACTGATGTAAGGATCGTCCTGTCAGGAACTTTACTTTATGCATATATTTGGGAAGACGTTGGTACTCTTATTGTTCCTGGTCAGTTATAGTAAAAATGAGTTAATTTGTAAGAAAGCCTTTGAAATTGCTCATGGTTTAGACCACTGTTGTCTTCTATAATATTATACTTAGTTGGAACTATAGTTCTTTATCTAAAAAAAGATAAAAATCATACTAATAATAAAAATAAAGATAAAAATCACACTAATGATAACCTGTGAAGGTATTGTCAATCAGACAATACCTTTACAGGTTATTATTAGTATGATATATGAAGCATTAAAGAAGGACACAATCAGAGTACCTTTTAAGCACCTTTTTTGAGATTTGTGAAAGGAGCGAGAATTTACTTTCTTGTTCACAATAATAAAAGCACAGCATGTTCCTTTGTGGCCCAGCATGTCGTTAATAACACTAACCAACTGTTTAATTTCACATGTCACATTTCCTTACAAGACGAATTTGACCTATGCCAACTCTGTAGAAAATGATACAATCAGAAACACAACCATCGTGTTCTTTGGTATTTCCTTAATGCCTCAGATAAGTTCACTCTCAAATGGTTCTCAAATGGTTCAACTCTTCCTATTCACCAGCAGAATGGAGCAAGACCTTTGAAAACCAACGAGTCACCAGTTGATTTAGATTTGTAAGAAATGCTTCGCTGAACGTCCTTTTCTTGAGGAATCGTGAGATAGGTATCATAACCAATTATGATTTCTTTCAAATTAAACCACACATCAACTTTTAAGCTTTTCGTGAAAACTATAATGCAAAAACAGAGATGATTATGCTTATTGTACTTAACGATAGGAGGGAAAGATATGAAGCATTAAAGAAGGACACATGTCTAAATATAGTGTTAAGATCTAAATATAGTGTTCCCAGCCAAGTAATAGTGTTAAGAACATTGAGCACGAAACGGATGTTGATGTCTGTTGCTACAATATAGCTATCCGAATAAACTCTGCTAGGTAAAAACAGACATTAACATCTGTTTCTTGAAAATGTTCTTTGATGGCCAGAACTCATATGCCTTCTAGTTACATATAGGGATCAATTACATTTATTTATTCACAATACCTGTTAAGAGGTTATCATATCTAGCGACGGTCCCTGCTATACGGGACTTTTTTGAGAAATAAGATTCTGGTAGCATTGGTTTAAGCGGGACGATTCCTAGAAAAAAGAACCACGCTGGAAGTGAAGACCCGCCTAGCTATGGAAGTGATGTACCGGCTACGCGGGATGTTTGGAAACCTTGCTGAAAATGTTTCGGCTGCAGCTCTGTCACTCGTAGAGACCAACCAATCAGACGAAAGTTCTGCTTCTGAAAGATCACGTGATCCTAATCTGAGAGATAATCAATTGCTGTTTGGCATTCAAGTCCTTGTAGTAAGTGATAAGTGATAAGTGACGGAGGACGTGGGCACTGTCCCTTTACCTTAATGTTTAATCAGTACAGCACCACGTCCGCCATTATCCAGAGCCCCAATGGGGTTCGCTGCCGTCCAACTGCCCGGGTCCCAGTGTTTGTTGATATCTGAGAAAAATATAAGTACATGGCCATACAGGGGCTTTTTTAACATGCTACTTTTACAATACGTTACGATACTAATGATTCAATTATAATACATTTAAAAACTAATTTTGCAGCATGCACTATATATTACGATACTGATTTATACAATTCATACATTACCAATTATACATTAGAGTACTAATTATGCAATTTCAATACATTATAATACTAATTATGCAGTACACACATAAACTTACAGTGTATGTTACGATGAATAATAGAAACTTACCAATTACATTATTATACATTACAATACTAATACATTACCAATTATACAATATTATACATTACAATACTAATTACATTACCAATTATACAATTATTATACATTACAATACTAATTACATACCAATTATACAATTATTATACATTACAATACTAATTCAGTGCTACTGCTAGTAATTCTGATAAATATTACACATAGTTATGCAGTAATTCTCAAATGTATTCTCAAGCATGTAAGTACATATTCAGCAATTTTGAACAGTTTGGCACTGATCAAGCCTAAGGCAGAAGGTATGTGCATGACTTTTATTATTATATTCACGCAAATAGACAATTGATTGATAGTGTATTCACTTGCAGGTGTTTTTTTCAAGCACATAATTACATGAACATAGTCAGTGTTACTAAGCTATTTGGCAAAGATCGGTGCCTAACGCAGATAGTTTGTCCATGATTTTTGTTATTTTTTCCACAAGATATTTTTTGTTTAATTATAAATTTACAATAGGCTTGTCTATTAAGCTCTGGTAAATGAACGTGATACTGCTCTGTGAGTGGGCAGTCTGTGAGATAATGATCCGGGCTGCCTATATTACCACAAACACAATTATCTGTTTCTGTAATTCTGAATCTTTCAAAGTACTAAAGAAACGGGCCATGCCCTGAGACAAATCGGATTAACAGTGAATTCCCTATATTGCGTTCAAGATGCACCTTTGGAATGAAATAAGCTGTCCTTCTTCCTGTATTGCTGATATTCCATTCATTTTGCCATGTGTCAGTTGCTTTCTGCCTGAGTGTTTTTTTGAAGTGTGACATTGGCCAGAGTATATGATAAGTCCTTGTAGTAAGTGAAAATTGTAACCTAGCTATCTGGGTTTCCTCGAAATGTGAGGTTCTGAGATTTGTCCCTTTCGACGTCAAATCCCTCGTAGCCGAAACATAATGTGATTGGGCCTTTACAGTTACACAGCGACCGGACCAAAAAATCGCCAAATGGTCACCAAGATTGGCGACTTTTGGCAATTTCTCGCGATAATTGGAGATAAAAGTAGTCCTTGAAACTGTCGCCAGCTTGGCGATATCTCACCAATTTAGCGAGATAGCCATTTACTCAGTATTATGATAAATAGATTAGGCTTATAATCTTATTTTTTCAGTAGAGCTTTGTCTCTTTCAAGCATTTCATGATACGTTTTACAAAAAATGTTACAATTTCACATATAATTTCACTAAAGCTATTTACATATATACAAAATCCTTAACAATATATTTATTAAAAATATCAATTAAGCGCGTCATAAATCACTTGAATTAGATGCGTAATTAATCAAATAATGCATTACAAGTGTATTATATAAATATTAAGAAACTTAGTTATTCATTTCAAACATCTCAATTTGTTATGAAACAATATTAACTATTTGAAAGATAAATTAATCTTATGCTACGTTGAATATCAATACAGAGTAATGTGAGTGTCTGTCAGCCCACATAGACAGCTCGGATGACAAACATTTTAGAACCATAGTATATAATAATGTACTGTTCCAAAACTGGAAACGCTCCGCTGTAAGATTTTCTAATTTCAAAATAATTAATTATAAAATTTGTTGGTGCTTTTAATTCAATAAATAACTGTGATAAACACACCAAAGTATATTAATAATTACTAACAATAAAATCGTCTGCATCAGATATACGGTTCGTTTGATATCAAAGCTGTCCTAAAGTAAGGAAATCTTGCCTGTTTAGAGTTCTTAATTTACAGAAAAAGATTTAGAACCCTCCATTTATTTCTAAGGTATTTCCTATTAAAAATACTCTTCGGAATCATTAGTAAAGATATCAGTTCTATGCTGTAAAATTAAACTTAGCTTGGATATTCAACCTAGCAGCTATTAACAGTAATACAAATTGTCTATACTGATTGTAGATAATCTCCCTGGAAAACTATTACATTATCAACACAAGCACAAATAAAAGAAATATTTTGTTATTCACTACTGGTGGTTGCAACTTAAGCAAACCAAAACGACGGACTTACTTTTAAGAGTTACGAAACAAAGCTACTTGACCTGACTGCTAAGATTCAAATACAATAATCTCAACAATAACATTATTTACCTAAATTCAAAACTACGACACACGGTTGCAGATTCCATAATGCAATTTCCACGGCACAGAAGTTGACTAACTTTAGCGTTTATGACCTCAGTAAGATTGTAAGGATTATGTTAGTTTTATTAACAGTTAAATTTTAAGTTCCTTTCCTGTCAAATTCTTAACTTCAACTTACTACTTCCGGCCAGAACGTAGTGTTAGAATCATTCTGAGTATATAATGAGGAAGAGCGGTATTTAGCCGCGAAGTTCTACCTGTTGAGTTAGAGAGAATCAAGATTTTCTGATTTGCTCGCGTTTGCCTTTTTGGCTACGCTCACTTAAAGCTGTTCTTACGGTCGGCCGTACTCAGGCCCTTGATAGCTTCGCAGTCATCTCGTGTTTAAGGGGCCAACTCGGTTAGAATCTTGATAGCTTCGGCTATATCTCTTTAGTATAGATTAGTTTTAGTTCTTATATCTTAAGTTCAAAGCCCGAGGGTTCGGCTTTATTGTAAAAGTCAAAGACGGAGTTCTGTTAACTTTTATCTGAATAATAAAGGGTTACTTTACCCTTTGTGCTTGTTGTTTCAAACGATTATTCGCTCAGTTCTTAAGATTCTTCACTTTCTACAGTAATTAAGAAATATACAAGTGAGAATCCCACAAGATACAAGCGAGAAATGGCTAAAACTCATATAATCTTAAGCTAAGATTAATCTAATTACTACCTGCCATTAAATTTGCATGATTTTCTGGTCTTGAGCGAGTATTTGAAATAAGGGCTGGGTGATTTTATGAGCATAACGCATTGGCACTTCAGCCGAATGGTGTGGTTTTTTTGTCTTTCTCGCCTCGGAACATAGAGTCAAGATTATAGAACAAGAAGATAATGTCACAATAATATACGTTACACTCTGTACGCCAGCAAAATATTATGCTACTAAATTTATGTAAATTATATCTGTTTATTTTGCTCGTGTTATAATAAAGTTTTTATTCTGATCGTACGTATGCTATATGAAAATGCAAACATACCGTTCATGTTAAATACGGAACCCACCTTACCCACCTCACGACGGATATATCACACATAGCTTAAATCGAACTCTTAGTAAAACTCTGAGAATAATTTTTACAAAGCGTTTAAAATTTTTTCTTTACAGATCTGCCTTTAGTTGAATCAGAATGTGGAAAACCCATTATTAAGCCAGATACCGTGTTTGGGAGCCCAGATCGCATCGTAGGGGGAAAGGAAGCAATCCCTGGCAGCTGGCCATGGCAAGTGTCATTGCAAAATCGATACACCTATGGTAGCAGCCACTCCTGCGGAGGATCTCTCATCAATGCACAGTGGGTTCTCACAGCTGCCCATTGTTTCAAGGGGTAAAGAAAATCACATTTCATTATTAAGATTATTAATTAGATTAGTTTATAAAGTAAAGTCAGTAGGTCTGATAAATTTAATTTTAAACTGATGTCAAAACTGAATGAAATTTTTATAACAGAATACAGACACCATAAAATACTATTTTCCAGTTCAAATAGCCAGAAACAGAATACAGAAATTGCAGTTACAATGAGTTTAATATTATCGATACTATTTGCATCGTGACTGGGTCAAGATTTAAAACTGCTGCAACAATTTTAAGGCAATTTCATTTAAATAAGAGATAAGGGCCCCTAAATTTATCCAACTTTACCTTTTCTGAGATAAATAAATCTAAAAAAGGTAGTTTCAGTTCTCATTTAAAAATTTTTCTTGTTTCTTTGAAGAATAAAGTAGCTTTAGATTAACAACGTAAAAAATATCATAATCTTCCAGAAGTAGCTTATAATACTTTTATTTACGAATTTTAAAATGAAATTTTAACTAAATTAATTTGTATGCTATATTAAAGATATAAAATTAATTTGGTATATAGTATGCTAAGTATGCATGCCATCATAGCTTAAAACGTCTTTTAGAATTGCCATCATAATATGTTGCAGGGATTTATGAGTTATCTTGCATGGAATTCCGAGATTATATTAATTCATAAATTAACTGGAATCCTATTAAGCTAAACTTGAATTAATGAATAAAATTTTAACACAAGTTCTATTCACAGTTTAAAAATTTATTGACACAAGTTAACTAATAAATGGTTTTGGATGGCGTAGTGAAAAAATTCCTATTTAAGAGAATAGTTTGTTGAAACAGATGGAAAGACACATTAGTATCAATCCATCCATATCGAGAGATTTTTCCACCTTTATGTTATATTCAATAGACACTTTCAATACTGTTTTTATAGGTTTGATTAACTTTTCTCTTTTAACCTTATAAGGTATATCTCCCGCCTTTCTAGCGTGCCGTCGTGGTGTTGTGGTTCTGCACGCTGGGCCGGTATTCCAGAGGTCCGTGGTTCGATTTCCGGCGAAGGCGATTGCTCATTTTCCAACTTTCCGGCTTTTCCAATTAACCTAATGACTCTACAATGGCGCCTGAACTAAAGGGGTGTTGGATCAGGATTCTTCACACCCAGGATTTGGCGATTGGGTCCCCTAAAACCTCAGTCGCCCTTTAAAAGGGGGAGTATATAAGGTATTTCTCCCGCCTTCTTAGCATGCCTTCGTGGTGTAGTGGTTCTGCACGCTGGGCCGGTATTCCAGAGGTCCGTGGTTCGATTCCCGGCGAAGGCGATTGCTCATTTTTCATCTCTCCGGCTTTTCCAATTAACCTAATGACTCTACAACCTATCCATTTTTTTTGTGATAAGCCGTACAAATTTTACATCTCTAAAGTATGAATGGGAGAATTGTCGAAATGCGTGTCATTAATCTTACTGCTGTGTTAATGAAGTCGTTAATATTTTTATATTTAACTTCATCTTATCCTTTGCAACTGCGTACACTTAGACATCCAATAACTCTTTCCAAAGAATTTTTTTCGTCTCAAATTATATTCTGATCGGAAAGGAACAAATACCGAATTTAATAAATTAATTTGAATATCATTCTGTTATCAATTTAAGTTATCTGCGATAGAAATTCTTAATAAAGTTCTGCCATTTCATACAATATCTTAACTCGTTTTATCTTACAGTCTGTTATTTTAAACTAGGCAATTTAAGGTAATTTCTTTCCTTCAGTCTTAGCTTGCAACCGTAGAAATTCTTAAAAATCAAGTTCTGCCATTTCATATAATATCTTAGGTTGTTTCATCTTACAGTATAAAGTATTTTACAGTTCTTAATTACAAAGTTTTATAATTCTTATAAAAGTATTTCATAATTCTTCTTCTCCCATCTTGCCTCGCACCATAGTAAACAACAGCTGTGAAAAGATGGTGGCGTCCCTTTAATTATTAAATTTTTTCACCTCATTTTCTTTTGCCTTGTTTCTTTTCCTGAAAAGATCAGGAATGAAGGCTGACTCGAACTAAAATAAGAAATGAGGTGCAGAAAGTAAATGATAAAATAAATGCGGTTCATATATGAGCAAATTCCCTAAAGACTTCGAATTTGCCTTTTTTAAAGAAACAGATTATATTATGCAATGCAATGCAATTCTAGTAATACGTTTATTAGTCCAAAGGGGCTTTGTCCCTGAAGGACTATTGTTTTCGTTTTGCGATTTTGCGTCGGACTCCTATAAACGTCGTTCACTTTTCAAACTGTTGCCACAAAATGTTAGAGTCCTGCATTATATTTAAAGAAATTAAATAATGAAAAATCTGCATAAATGATTGTCTATTTCTCGCATTGTGATAAAACAATGGTACATAGAGCCATCGAAGTTTGAATGACGAAATCCTACTGCGAATATGGGCATCTGAAATCCCAAATTTGGAATTTGTTTTATTATAGATTTTATATTTTGTAAAACTTTAACGAATTTTTGATTTACAAACTCAATGCTTTAAAAGCGAGAAATGGCAAACGTTATATAGAAAAAAAAAATACTTTTATCTCCAGCTCGCGATACTGTGTATATCGGAAATTCTAAAGATATGCTTAATTTAACATTATTTTGCGATATTGCTCTTGAACTGAATTTTATGGTTTAAGTGCAAAGAACATGATATTTAATAAATAAAGGTAACACTCAAAACGTTAAAAAAAACGCCCCTTTGGACGTAATTTAAAATCTGAAAAATTTCAGATTTTTTTTTTTTTTTTTTTTTTTTTTTATAATTATTATTATTACTACTATTATATTCTGAATAATGCAGAAACCCGTTTGCTGAAAACTGGAGGATACACGTGGGAAAGCACCACAAATATTTTAAGGATCCGCATGAGCAAGTGCGCTACGGGGAAAGAATCATCATTTGGCCCGAAAAGACGGGAGATACGGTAAGGAAAATGTTTCCTTCTTATAATGAATATTTGTTATTTTTGACTGACAATGCCAAGAGAAAGCAGATACAGAGAAAACTACCGCCTAATGCAATTTATTAATCCACCAGTTAGCGCGTTCTTAAAAGAATTGCGTTAAGCTGCTACTGAAAAACGTATATGAGTAATAGTAAAAAAAAAAAGCCTAATTTATACCATAGAATTCTAGTAAAATTCAAAAGAATCAATTGTTTAAATTTTTAGTTATGCATGAACATTTGATTTCTCTATTCTATAGCAAAATAAATAAATAAATAATGAATAAATAACAAGCAGAGATGATGGAATAAATTAAAACTTTGCATCTTTTCATGCACTTTGCAATAACAAGCGATCGGTTCAAATGGTTATGTTATTCATTTTAAATGATTAAAATAACTTTTGTAGAGTCTTGAGTTCTTTGGTAACATCAAATGTACGAGAACTCTTAAGACTGAAACAAATTATCGTATCGTATGTCTTTTAAATACCACAGAAACAGGAAAAGGCTGTAAAGGTTCTGGGCCTTGTTTGGAGAATCGCTGAAGATAATTCCACTTAGATCTTGACATGCAAAAAACCTGAGATATCCCGAGGTAAAGGAAGACCACTTACTAGTTGGTTAGATGACACTGAAAAAAGACTTAAAAACTTTGAAAATAAAAAAAGTGGTGAGAAGAAGCTGCAGAGAAAAGACGCTGGAAGGAGCGTGTGGTTTAGGAAGTCAAGGCCTGTATTAAGGGCTGTTGTGTTTGTGATGAAGAAGTAATAGATACTGGGCGCTTTGAAGTTTTCTTGCTCTTGCAGTTTGTGCTGTATTTATTTTACTGTTTATTTTAGGATTTATTCTAAAATTTTTGCTCAATATAAAATTTTAATTTCTTATCTTTTAAGTTCTTTTGTAAGCTCTTTATCTTTGTGTCGGTTATGATTTGATTTTACAGTCTTGTAGATTAAATTAGGCAGCTAAACCAGCAAATAGAGTTTTTATTTAGAACTACAAAGAATAAGATTAATAGCTGAGAGGTATTTAATAGGTTACAGGAGACTGTTTGAGTACTTAAGATGAGTTTTAATTAAGAAGATTAACAAACTAGCAGTTTTTTTAACGCAGATTACTCTACGAGCTATTTTTCTGCCTTACAAAGAAAACGGATAAGTCACTGTTTGAAAAAAATGTAATCAACCTTACATTAATCAAATATTTCCTCAAATCCTAGATCCGCTAAAAGACTAGTATCTTTAAATCAAAGGTACTTATCAAAGATAAAATGCTTGTAAAACATATTTAAGATAACAAAAAGAAAACAAATATGCTGTGTTTTTGGTAAAATAAAAATATCGGAAAGAACATTATGTAGCATTTATAGAGTGTTTTCTTTGACAAATTTTAATCCTTAATGCTTTTAAGGTACTTCTCTCTCCTCGACAAGGAATTTTCATGTTGGTAAAGGTGCAGTATTAAAAACATTTGCTATTAAGAAATCAATTCCATGTCTGGTATTATTTATTTATTTAAAGTTGAAGGGAAGCATCGACATGAACCACGACATTGCCCTACTAAAACTTTCAGCTCCAGTGCAGTTCAACGATGCCGTACGTCCAGTCTGTTTGCCTTCTCTGGGATGGGATCTGCAGCCTGGAACTCGCTGCTACGCTACTGGATGGGGAGAGACAAGAGGTAACAAATTTTTCGTTTAGTGTAGCTTAATTTACAAAATGGGACAGAGAAACGGCAACTTTTGTTTTTCCGGCAGACGATCGACAAACGACGTATCAAAACCTGGTTTTAATGCTGTCATTGTCCATTCTAATGTCATTGTCGATCCATCTGCTTATTATAATTTTTTTTCTATTTATAGTCATTGCTATGCTATCACAATATATATAATACGTTAATATCTGTTCTATTCTCTGTCAGTCATATAATAGAGTCTTTATGCAATGTTGATCCTCTATCGATGGTGATTCACGCCGTGTCGATTTTATGTTGATATGAGTTCTACGTAGTGTCTGTCAGTCTTATGCCTGTGTCCGTCTTTACACTATGCCCATGATATATCTGTGTCAAACATTACAAACTGAAAAACAAATAATGTGTTTGTAACAAAATTTGTACTCCCAAATTCAGGAAATGACTCCAAAGTAAGTGCAAAACCACCAACTGTAAACTGTTATTTATCTATTACATTATAAGGTATTTCTCCCACTTTCCTAGCGTGCCTTCGTGGTGTAGTGGTTCTGCAAGCTGGGCCGGTATTCCAGAGGTCCGTGGTTCGATTCCCGGCAAAGGCAGTTGCTATTTTTCATCTTCTGCTTCCAAAAATATACCTAATGTCTCTACAACATTTTAAATTAGTAAAAATGGAAGTGTAATAGGGCTACACTCATTTACTTATAGGAAACATTGGATGCCCTATTACATTTCAACCTGTACCTGTACCTGTCAAACCCTACACAGTGTTGATTCTATGTCTCTAACGACATTATGAAGGTGACCAATATGCATTAATTTTCTTACTAAATATTGCATCAGTAATCAACATTTTGGTTTTATCGTGTCGATTCTATGTAGTGTTGATTTTTGACATAAGCTTTAAATTTCATGACTTTTCATATAATGGCTGTTAAAATTAGACTCTTAGTTATAAAACGTATTTTATATTCTTTATATTTTAACGTATTTTATATTTACACCAAAGTTTAAATTTTTGAGTACCTGAAATTTCTCAGTCAGTGACGGTCAAAATATTTCTTGATAAGATTCGAGTTTAATGCTTTACAGCCTGTTCTTTCGGTATCTTGATATTTAATAGAGAACTATTTCCTTTTCTCTAAATAATACGACCCATTAAAAGATTTCAGGGCAGTTCGTCTATCTCAACTAAGACGTACGCATGCTTAACAAAACTCAGGTTTTTTTAACATTTTTGGTTTTCGAGTCATTACGTTTTTTTTGAAGTAGGAGACGTGCGATGACTTGGTCGGGACTCGAACCTGGACCTTTCGAATACACACCGAGAGTGCTACCGTTACACCATGAAGGCATGCTGGAAAAAACACCTTGCGTACTTCTCCCTTTTAAAGGCGACTGGGGATTAGAGGACTTAATCACCAAATCCTGGTGGTGACGAATTATTGTCCATCACCTTTTAGTTCGGGTGCCAATGTAGTGTCATTAGGTTATTTTGAAGCAGGAGATATGCAAAATGTGCAGTGCCCTCGCCGGAACTCGAACCTGGACCTCTCGAATACGCGCCAAGTGTGCTACAGTTTCACCATGAAAGCATGCTGGAAGGAGGAAGAAAATACTTTATAAGGTATATTCTGCTTTGTGCTGAATATTTTCAGGAATCTTTTAGTAAAGCTGTTTTAGGTTGAAATTCGTACAAAAATTTTTAACATATGCAAGTACATTTACATTTTAAAATTTCAATAACTAAGAAAAAATTTTAATACCTCTTTATGCATGATTTTCATCTTCCATCACAAAGATAAAAATCCATTTTAATAACTTATAATAAATTAAACGTAACGGTAGTATGAGGAACCCTACTCAGAAACATATTTGATTTGACCACCGTCAATTATCTTCACTAAACCCAAACTGAAGTCAGATTGTTTGAATCTTGATGATTGACACATTGTTAACAGAGCAGGGATATTTTGACTGGTTGTTGGGTTAGATGCCCATTTTATAATTCGTGAGTTTATTTAAAATTTTAGTTTCTATAAAATTTAGTATTTTCACTTTGAGCTTTAAACAGTGAAATCACACTTACTAAACACTACACTAAGACAGGGCTAAACGTGAAAGCTCGAGTGATTAATATAAATAACTACAATGGTTAGTAACTGCATGTAAGCGTTTGAGCGATATGTCATATCTATCGCTAATAATTCAAGTACCTTTCTTTCATTAAATTAAAGAGAATAATTTATATATTAATATGTTTTCTGAGTTATATCAATTATGACATATATAAAATTTTACTTTCTTTATGAAACATAGGTACTGGCTCCAACGATGCTCTGAAGCAAGTTGATGTCACAATCCAGCCTAAAACTAACTGCTCTTTCAATGAACAAACTCAAATATGCGTGAAAAACAGTAAAGGATTTCAGTCTACGTGTCACGTAAGTTATGCTTTATCTCTCTCTATAAAAACAAATGCTTGTTTGTATTGCATACAAATCTACAGTTTAATTCTGATCTTTATGAAACCTGTGACACTTGACCTTCAAAACAAGAGGAAAGTCACTGTCTACATAAGGTTTCTCAAAAACCATCCCGTGAAGTCGCACTTTTTAGATACATATATTTTACGCTAATTTAATAAAATTTTGATTTAAACCCAACAATTTAAAAACTTTGCGTTTCCGCTCTGCAAAGCGTAAGATATACACGTTCAAATTTGATCAGAAAACTCGGCGATATAAAAAATTGTGTTGCCACTCGGGAAAACACAAGGCTATTAATTTGTCTCGAATTTATAGAACTCCAACTACCGTTGATATGCCGCGACTGTCGTGCACCTAATGCACGACGTGTTCCGGCTATCTTGAAGTAGTGTTCCACTGTGAGCCTGGAGGTAGACTGATACCTAAGCTAAGTCCAAGACGAACAGTCGAAAGTCTAGAAGGAGAAATGACCGTGGTCACGTGAGCAAGTAATGACATCGGATTGGCTGGGTCTTTACTTATTAAACTTAGATGAAAGACACCAAATTTCATGAATAATTAAATAAGATAATTAATCTTGAGTGGAGGTAATCTTCGTCTGCCATGTCATGCAACGGCAGAGCTGAGTTAACAGTCCAGAGTAGGAAATACATAGTAGTGCAGTTCAAGGACGCTTGCCAAAGTCACAATGCCACGAATTCAATAAATAAACTCGGCTGTTTAAAAGAAATGTGTTGCCGTTGCCCAAATTAAAATATTTTAAAGTGCTTTATTGTTCAAGAAAGCGTAAAATATTTAATTTTTCACGCATTAACATGCGTATAATTGCAGCACGCGTTCTTTGCTTTTCGAAAGAGAATTGGTAATAGTAGTCACAAAGCATTACTTTCACTGTGAAATCAATTATGCAACCAAAACGAAAATCGCTTGTTCGATCTACACCTCAAGCACGAAAGACAAAAGCATCAAGAGATTCAGACACAAATAAGTAACAGGAAGCAACACTGGAAAACATGTGAGTACGCACTGCTCAAACCGATTCATATGAAACAAACGAGCAAAGGAAGGCAAGACCGGGAAATGTTCGAGTACGCACTGCTCAAGCCGTTCTTCTGAAACAGACGAGTAACGCGAAGCAAGACTGAAAGACGTTCGAGTTCGCACTGCTGAAGCCCGTTCGTCTGAAACAGGCGTTCAACGGGAAGAGAGATTGGAAAACGTTCGAGTACGCACTGTTCGATCAAGATGAACATTGCACGCTGGTTTAATTTTTGGTGCATTCCATTACGATGCTAATTATGATTACAGTTTTCATCCAAGCGTGGTCGTTGGAAATATGGAAAAATTATGCATGTATTAGAGAGCCCTAATATTTAAAAATGAAGGACTAGGGATGTGCTGCGCGGGTGGAAAAGGAAAATCGACAAAATTAAATTCACTTACCCGAGCCATTATCAACCTTGGTATCAGGTGACACAAAGCCAATCGAAACATGCAAAATACGTATAAAGAAACGATTTCATAGCAGAATTAAAACATAAACACTTTCTTTCCTTAGTATTCTTAGCCGGGTAACACTTTCTTTCTTTCCTTAGTAGTATTACAATCGTGCCGGGTACAGCTAGTTTTTTTTTTTTTTTTTTTTTTTTTTTTTTTTTTTTTAATAAAAGCCTTGCTACCATCTTTAGTTACGTCTTTAGTGAGTATTTATTACACAAGCCTCTGTATGTATCCACGTGACACTTTATTGTATACAAGTCGCATCATCACACTATACATAAAAGCTTACAAATACACAAGTACAACTCCAACGACCGGCACCTACAGTCTCTCCACTTTTCCACTACCTTCGCATGCTACTCGATGCTTGGCGCACGTCAGTTCTAAATTCGATTACGATTAAGTTCTCGATACATCACATATTTTCAGTTTGAAATTAAAGAGCAGATTTGTTGTGAATGTGACTTGAAAGCGGATTATCGAATTTTTTTCAGTTACAGGACAAATGATTATAGTATATTTGAAATTTAGTGTCTGGATACTTTCAAAAGAAATAATTCCCAAATATTTTAATAGAATACGCTTCTTAACAGTGTGAAACATTACTTCAGGCTATGAGGTGATTATTTAACTTTATAATTGTAAGCAGAATAAAGCACAATTTCGAGCGAAATAAGTTTATTTGCGATGTGTTAAACCTTTATTTAATGTAGCATTTATGTTATTGTAGTAGGTTATATATCAAGAAATTGACATCTTTCCAACTGAAATTCAAAAAGAATTGTAATGTTTTTATCTACAGGGCAGCCATTTTCTTATACTTGTACTCGTGTCTTTTCTATTTGCACTGACGACGTTTTCTTTGGAAGTGAAACATTATTATTTACTATTCAATAGTAAGATCAGTAACTGTATGCAAATGAACAATCAGCTATCCCACTAGAAGTATATATTCGATATATAATTTCTGAAGTAGCAACCTTAAGCACACTAAAACGTATGCAAACGTTAGTACACTCATAGAGTAAGGATTTACTCCATGTTAAATGTGATAAAAATCGAGCAATGAATTTATTAAAAACGAACAAATAATTCTATAAGTAACAAAAATATCAATTTTAGAATTTAGACAGAAAATGACTAATAGTTTTGCAACTTATTCATCAGCTCATCGCATTTTGCCTGTTTCTGCGATTTTTATGTGGATTCTTTCGAACACATTTAGGCTTCTGTTGCCAAGAATTAAATACATTTGAGCATAGATATTCCCATTGTTGTGTACAAAAAGAGTATTTTGAAAAAACAAAATATGGTGTTTAGGCTTACTATACTTCATACTGAAAAATACTGAGCGCAGAATAAAATAACGAAAAATACGGTGGGAAAAAGTGATCTTGAAAGGTGTTTATTGTAGTTACGAACACTCATAGAGACAATGGATGAACTATTCACAATTTTATTTGAAGTTCTTTTCGGATGGCTAGTTCTTAGCTCAAGGCTTTATGGTATAAAGTATCATCAAAAGATTCGATGGAATATTTTTTGAAAAGAAATGCAAGAAAGCTCGATTATGTTCGCTTAGATGCGTATAACCTAATTTAATTGATATTGCGATTACTTCTTTTAAGAAGATATTTTCAAAGAATGCCAAGGTTTTGTTCCTCCGGAATTTTTCTTTACTAATATTGATCTTTTATGTCCCCACAGGGCGACAGTGGAGGACCACTGGTGTGCAGACTTGCTGGCACATGGTATGTGATGGGTGCAACCAGTTTTGGCACACTCGGGAACTTCATGCATGGTCTGTGCGCCATGCCGGCCCAGCGGACGGTTTTCATGAAGGTATCGGATAAGGCCGAGTGGATCGATACCATGGTTTACATATACAGCTGAAAATGATGGCCGTGACTGAAATGAGCACCTTGAATGTATAACTATTAAAATGATGTTCTTTATTTGAAATAATTAATAAACTAATTTGTATGGTCTTTTCTACAGCTAGAGAGTATTTATTTATTTATTTTTATCTAAGATCTTATATTGAAAAATTGACTAATCAGCTATAATTAGCACTCTGACTCGATACACTTAGATGACTTGATATTTACTGCATACAATTTAGAACAAAAATTACAATACTGTAACATTCTCTATGAAAACAAATGTTTATCCATATATTTGAATTTTTAAGTGGAGAAATAAAACTTTGAACGAAACTTCTGAAGAAAGCCATTTCTAATGTACGTTATCAAAAGCTCCAGGCTTATAGAGCGATTCGGTGTTTTTTGAAAACGAAAAGTATGAAACGTTAGCAAATTCCATATCGGGAATCGAATTTCGGATGCCCCGATGATAACTGGACGTGATTCTAGTCACACAAGGAAGGCAAGCTGTAAGGTAGGAGAAAATTCTTTATGAGGGTTGGGATTGTATAACATTGCAATTTGTTAAAATAAAATTATGGTTTTGTTTACTGTAAGGCCTGAGAATTGCTTCTTCCATTTAAATTTTATTGTAGCTTATACTTTCCTAAATCGGTAAGAAGAATAAAAGCCTACTAACGATCTTTTTCTCAGTACTTTTATCAGAGCAAGGTACAAATAAATCATATTTGTAGAGTTGGTTTCTTTCGGAAGAAAAATGTCTTAAACATATTAAATTTGGAAGGGGAAAAGAAATAACCCCAAAATGAATGGCTTTTTGATACACTGAACCCAGGCAGATGGGAATTCTGCTAAAAGCTCTTTTCATTTAAAGTTCTAAAGAAGCTCAATAAAAAGTGTGTGATTTTTATCATTTTCTTTTCAGTGAAAAAACATAGTGTGATGCAAAACTTTAAGGACTGATAAAACATACCTAAATATGTACTTTTCATCATACAATGCATGGGCGTTTCTGAAGCGTTGAAGCGATAGTGGTTAGCACAAGTAAGAAAGCTTGAAGAGGGATGAAAAAGGCTTGAACATATTACAGAAGCTGCTTAAAGAATGAGCTCCAGCCTGAATGTAAGCTAAACATCTTCAATGTAGTAATTGGCATACATTGAAATCAAGAGGCATTTCTCGAACCGAGACAGCGGCTGTAGGAAACTTAGCAAGAAGATCCTGATTGGAATTCAGAGGGCTATCTTGCTTGAGGCGTTTCAAATGGCCCTATAGGAAGACGTTTAGTTGTGAGAGATTGAAAGATGTTCTAACTACGTAATACGATTGCCGCCAACCAATTTGTTATCCCCAGATGCTGCATCCAAGGTGTTCCGTTCATTTATTTTGTAATGAAGTGGCGTTCCATTGTGTTAGAACCACATAAGTGTTTTAAAGTTTAGGGAAGCAGGGTCGGGATTTTCTGTAAGAGTTTTGTAAAAATACTGGGTGAAGTATATCTGGCAAAAGGCAGACTATTCAAATGCTACTCAGGATAATTTCAGCCCAAGCATTATTGAGAAGAGCCGCTAGTAAGAGTATGGACGTGTTGCTTGTGGATTGCTGGATGTCCGGCATTGAGTCAGTGCAAGTCGATACTAGCATCAGCAAACGCTCATACAACCAATACTTTTCCCATCAGAGACTGTATTTTAAGAACTTGGTGATAATTTATAATACGTGCTGATGAAGGAACTGAGCAGTACAGCTGCTATGATCTATTTGGGGTCACACCAGCGGCCGAGCGGTAAAGTCGCTGAACAGTGGTAGTTCGGTCCGAGGGTTCGAATCCCGCGAACGGGCTGGCTGCATGGGCGTTTTCGTGCCCATGTGTAACGTGTATACGAGCCAGTTTCCCTTAGAAAGTCCTCCACGAAGGCATCCCTCCTCTTACGCAGATAGCCCTAGTGTGCTTTGCCATAATTAAATACACACACACACTATTTGGGGTCCAAATGCAGTGTGCGATGTTATTTCTAGAAACCCAAGAACTTTGCAGCGCACTGGGGCAAAATCGTTGATTGATTTAGATTGACAAAAATATTGTGCCTTAAAATGTATTTCTATAGTCTGTGATTATTGATGCATTATGTATGAGAATGTATCTGGGAACCAAATAATTCCGCATACAGAGGCGCAAGATAATTTAAGACATTTGAAACGAAAACTTATGTTCTTAAGCGATATGTAATATAAGCTTTTTAAAACCTTACAGATGAAAAATACTTATTTCTTTTATCTTTATTATGCAATCATCTTCATCATTTCTATGGATATCATCATATATACGCATATCATCAACTCAGACCATGGATACTCTATATAAGAAGACTAGAATATCAAGCTTGGTAATCACCTGCTGTTAAATTCTTAGTGGGTGGCAATTGCCAGATGTGATAAGATCAGCATAATGTTCAGTATGGAGGAAACTGCATTCATATCTGAGAGGAAAAGTCCTGATAGTTTGATGCTGTTACGGCTAGACTCCAGATCATCTTTTGATAACTATCTTAGGAACAGTAGAAGTCTGGACAGAATTCCAATAAATAGGTCAAAAGCTTTTGTACAGATGCCCTCATTTTGTGCCATCTATGAAGCTGGATTAATAGTGCTCTGACATGTCAGGTGTTATAGTCTAGGGAGAATCTAAGTAAGCTATTTAATTACTTTTTCTAATTTTTCAAATTTGTACTTATAGCAATGTTTTCAATTTCTCCCAGCTGTCTTTTTTTGTTTTTGTTTTTTTTTTTTTTTTTTTTTTTTTGTTTTTTTTTTTTTTTTTTTGTTTTTTTTTTTTTTTTTTTTTTTCCACTCTTTGTTACGGATTTTAAAGAGTATGAAATAACTTTCTCTGATCTATATCTGTAACGAAAGGTGTAACGTTAGGAGTTTTTGTTCATTGGCAGCTTTCGGGAAAAATATGTTTTTGGTATATCTCGATTTTGGATCGATTTTCGACTGATCTTGTTATACTGGCGAAGCCTGGTAGACAAATTTTGGAATTTAGACTATCAGGTTCTGTGTTCCTCCTTACTTGCTTTGGGAACATTAAATGTCCTGACTCGGAACAGGGAGCTTACTAAAGCTATGTTCAATAAATTTGGGAAGTAGACAATACACACAGGAAGGGTATACGAAACCCTTTATTTTTCTCTCTTTACAATGATTTCCGGACTTCGGAATAAAGAGACCAACCACTTGTGGTCTGAACGTAAGAATTATAAAATATTAACTAAACTCTAACTAAACTTAACTTTGGATTAATCAAACAAGTGCCTAATACTCCAAGATTGGGCCGTATATGAAGCAAAAAGCCGTATGTAGTACAGAGAACTGCTAACACACTACGATATGTTTAAAATTTATCAAGAGGATTAAACCTCTGGCCTTGAAGGCAACCAGCAACCGAGTAAAACTACTATGGCAAGCGGCCTGCTTCTAATAGCTCCTTCCTCTTTCTTACTTGGCAAAAAGCCACAACTTAAGTACTTGGCGTTCGCAAGACAAATTTGCATAAATAAGTTAAAGCTTTTAATTCTGGCCGGAAGTAGAAAATAAGAAGTGATAGTAAAGATTTAAAATAAAATAAACGTTAGTAAAACTTAAGATCCTTACAAGACATTTAGAATTTTTCTGAACAAATTTTCCGCGTATCTTCTATTGCTCTTCCGTTTGCAATCAGTTTCGAAACAAACTCTTTCAATATAGTTTTTAAACTTGTTTCCATGCCTGTAGAGCAACTAATATGAGATTTAGTATCATATTCTTATTATGTAAGTATAACAAGCTAAGTAAAACTAAAGCCGTGCTTACTTTTTTGTAAGTCTCATCAAAAGTGATTATTTCAAGAAGGATTTTATATATGAAAATACCTGCACTGTTTGAATAAATATGATATGAAATGGAATACTTGTAGCTATTTATTGCTAATAAAGTCAACTGAAGAAGACCCATAGTGCATTATAAAGTAGATACCAGAAGTCCGTCATAAGAACAAAAAACACACCCATTAATGAAATTTGTCAGTTCGAGACCTAGACAGGCAAAATCTCCTTTTTTAGAACACCTACATTGGAAGAAATCTGTGCTTTTGTTTTTCTAAATTTATAGAAAACTGATGGATGACACAGGTGACGAGGTATAAAATATTTTTAATTGCCATTTTTAAGCGTTGTCAATAATTCGAAAATTCATTTTTTTCAAGCTAAAACGGGCATTTTTCCGTGTATTTGCTGGGATTATGCAGCTATTTATGAGGTTTTGCTTTACTTTAAACTGCAAACAGCTATTATGCAACGCAGAAAGTAATGTACTTTGCTTTTTACTAGAGTACATTGCTTGTACACTGCCAAAACCAATTATTTTGTTTATGTGACTTTTAGTTTTTCAGCCAAAAATTTTAAACTTTAATAAATGAGACCTGTTTTTATCGTTTTATGAATTGTTTTGCCTTATGATTATTGAGTTTTAGATTGTACCATTGATAAATGACCTAAGAAAAACTCTGTGATTTGACAGTTAAGTCGCTGACAGTTAGGATGAGATCTAATTTCTCTACACCAGATCTGCGCAGAATGCTATAGAATTGTATCAATTTCATTTAATAATTATAAGATGCAGCAGCTAGCTGTGCACGTCAATCATAACTTTGATCCAGTCTGCCTTGTCAGCCACCTTGCTGAATACGACTTTATTCTGCGGCAGTGCACACAATCCGGAATCGAAATTGTCAGCAGTGGTGAAACTTGTGTCGCCCATCACAAACCACTTCGATTCAACTTTGCAAGCTAAGGGTCCTCCACTGTCACCCTAAAAAAATACGCAACAAATGAAAGTTTAATTATTATCTACTTACGTTACAATTGTATACTTGGTTTTGATTATGCTTTTTTAAATTTCTGAAAACAAACATCCATTATTCTTTTTTGAAAAAGGTGAAATTTAAGATATTAGCGTCATCATAATCAGAGATATTAATAAATAAGAATTTTAAAATACCCAGTTTTCAGCTTACAACTACATTTTGCGCAGATTAATAACCAGTATACAGATGCAAAGGAAGTGCAGTAGCAAACTATACCACCTAAATGATCTTTTATTAAGATATTTGAATTGAGAAACGTATACTGTAACCCTCTCTTTCCATTCTTAACGTCACGTTATGCTAAAAAGTGACTTCACTTTTTAGCATAACGTGACTTCTTTGTCTAGTCTTTACAAAACTTGACAAACTGTCGTTTCTGAGAATAGTTGCTATTGTCTTTGATTAGTTTTCCAAGTAATAACAGGACATCACTTTTGTGAATCTTAGCGATTTATAACACATGATTACTTATAAATGTAATCAAGCTTATTCCGTTAGCGCAGTTTTAAGACGAAAGGCTCCAAAACGTGAAGTAAATGGAACCTGTTGGAATAACTTTGCCACTTCATAGCAATGTTTATACCCCATCATAGGTCAAGGTTATAAGGTATTTCTCCCACTTTCATAGCGTCCTTCGTGGTGTAGTGGTTCTGCACACTGAGCAGGTATTTCAGAGGTCCGTGGTTCGATTCCCGGAGAAGACGGTTGTTAATTTTTCATCTCTCTGGCTTCCAAAAAATCCTAATGTCTCTGCAAGGTAATAACAAAATAGTGCCATTACTTCAAAAAATTCTTTACTCATTAAACCGTCTCCTCTTCACAATTAGATTGAAACCTTCAAACTTCTTAAAAATAACGATAATATAATGCAAATGAGGTTATAAATTTGATTTTCTTTTTGAATTTGTAGAGATTTATATTTACATTTTAACTAACCAGTTATTTTATGGTCAATATCTTTTCTGTCTTTCTCGCTTCCCGTTTTCCAGCCAGAATGCAAGTTTTAATTCGTCGGGATTCATATGAAGTTAAAAAAGATGGTATTTAAAGGAATGTCTTAGATTTCTGAATCAGAGTTTGTTCCGCCTGCTGAAGGCCACGTTCCTAGTTGAAACCCTTGATATCAATTTGTTTGCGGCGTTGAGTTACTCTTGCCACTAGACTTGACACGTCGATATAGATTTGAGCCAACTTGCGCGTATTCTTTCTATGTAGCCTTAGACTAAACTATGACTTAGCTTAGTTCAGTTTAAATTCATTATTTTTGAGTTACATCCTAAATGCAGGCTGGTTTTGTAAGCAGAAGACATGCCTTCTGTTATTAATCTATTGAGCTTAATAAAGGAGTCTTTTATACGTTTAGTATGTCTCTATTATTTCGAAGACATAGCGATAATTCGCTTACTTTTACCAGAGTCTCAAGTTAGTTCATGCTTCCAAAGGAGGCGAGACTCTATATGTCAAATTATAAAATAAGATATGAAATAAAATACAGCAACTTTATGTAAAATCACTTCTTTTTCATAATGGTACTGATACTATCACATATTTATTTGAATTCGCAGATAGTGTGTGTTCCGTTACAGAAAGTTCCGTTATAGAAAACATACATCATGAGCGGCGGTTCTGGTATTATTACACAGATTCACTGCAATTAAATTACAGTGTCGTTTCTGTATTGTTACACGAGTTAGAATAAGTATACAAAAAACAGGTTGCTTTTTTTTTTATAACTTTCATATGAGTATTCTAAATGGAACTGTATTTTAGAAGTCATCTAAAAAAATCTCCCAGTATGTCATTGTTTTCTTTTCTAATACTTAAAGACTGAAAATACTTTGTAGAGACATTAGGTATTTTTTAAAAGGAGGCAGGATGAAAAATGAACAATTGCCCTCCCCGTGAATCGAACCACGGGCCTCTGGAATACCGGCCAAGCGTGCAGAACCACTACACCACGAAGGCACGCTCGGAAGGAGGGAGAAAAACCTTATAACTTAAGGTTGCAAAAAATATATTTTCCGGATCTCAAGATATTCCAGCAATTAGTTTTGACTTCTAATATAATAGTATCCCCAAGCATATGTTTCTGCGAAACAAATAAAAACCTTTTAAGAGATAGGTGGTTGTATCTCCTATCTCTAACAGTATATTGTTATTATATCTCCATAATATCTTTGGAAGAATTTATGGATAGACTACTACGAGTCATCAACGACACAAACTTGGTTAGTTTTCATGTTCATTATTTTATTATTAAAATAACGTTTAGAGAATATTAAATAGTATAGAGCAGGGGTCGGCAACCTGTTTGTCTTTAAGGGCGCAATACTAAATTTGAAAATCACGGAGGGCGCATATTTTACACATAATCAACAGGTATAAATAGGCATTAAAAAACAGATTTTTTATAACTTTATTTTGTTGGTGTCATACATAATGATACATATAATTCAGTGTGAAACTTGGGTGTCCATATTTTCAGCTAATTTTTCTAATATTTTCAGCTAATTTCTTATAATTGGGGATATATTTAGAGTTCCCGGGTCCTTAAACAATTATCTAAATGTGAGTCATTAAGCTTTGTTCGGTATTTTGATATCAAATATTTCATATTTGAGAACAAAGACTCGCAATTGTATGTTGTTGCGCAATATGAATAAATTTTTAGCGCACATTTTCTTAAAATAGGATACTTATTTTCATCGACTAACTTCCAAAACATTTTATCATTACTATGCGCTTTTAAAATAATATCACTTTGCAAGTTTATTATTTCTAATTCTAGGTCTTCGATATTATGAAGCTCGAAATACACTGAAACTATTTCAAGGACATCATCTTCAGTAACATTGAATGTATTTATGAAAAATCTTAGAACGGGTTCTAATGCTGCAAAATCTTCAAATCTAGAAAAAAACTCTTCTATTAGCTTACCTATAATTTCTAAATATGATGTAGCAGTAAAATTTTCATTATTCAAATTTAAACTACACTCAACAGTATATTTTTATATTTGGGAAATGTGATAATGATTTTTTACAATAGATGGGATTTCAACAACACTAACTTGCATTTGAATGCATTTACTGCACTAATCATGTCAGCGATATGCTGATTTTTCCCTTGTATTTTTAAATTTAATTCATTCAACTTTGCCGTTATATCTGTCAGAAATCCGAGGTCGATTAGCCAATCCTTATTTTCTTAATTGCTCGTAAAATTCGCCTCTTGATGCAATAAATTCCTTTATCTGTGGCAAAACATTATAAACCGCTCTATTTTACCTTTGCTCAGCCACCTCACTTCAGTATGTAAAAGAAGATCTGTGAACTGAACGTCCTCATCTTCTAAAAGTAATTTAAACAATCTGTGTTGCATAGCTCCCGATCTTATGGAATTAATAATTTTTGTTACTATCGTAAATACATGTTGAAAACCGATTGTTTTTGCGCATAACATTTCCTGATGTATGAGGCAATGATAAGAAATAAATTTCGGGAATAAGGAATCCTGCCTACATAAGGCAATAAATCCTTTTTTTTTTTACTAGTCATCGCTGGTGTCCTGTCTGTTGTAATTGACGATAACTTTTGTACAGGTAATTTTACATCTGTTATATACTTTTTAGATGTAGAAAAGATATCTTCTCCTCTGGCGCTTCCCTTTAATGGTAGAACTTTAAGGAATTCTTCTTTTGTTGTAAAATCAAAAAAAATACCATCTTCACGCAAATTGCTAATTGTGATATATTTGTCACGTCTGCCGATTCATCCATCTGTAGCGAAAAGAAAATACAATTTTCCATATCATTTGCTAATTCTGCCTCCAAATTCTCCGCAATTACTTCAATTCTTCTAGTAACAGTTCGTGCTGATAATTGCAACGTGTTTTTTTAGCAGCTGAAACTATTTCCTTTTTATTTTTAAATTCTTCAAAAAAGTGAATCAGCAGCTTCTAACATGGCTTCTGGCTTCTTTCACTAATTCTCCATCTGTAAATGGTTTTTTTATTCTTAGCTAGCAAATGCGATATTTTATATGACGCGATCGTTGCTGCTTTATGTTGTTGTTGCAGTGGTTTAGTAAAAAAACTTTGCTGGTTAGTTATTGACGATTTTAAAGAAATAATTTTTTTTCTTCTAATTTCAGATTTCATTGGATAGTCACTATCAAAATTGGTATGAACGGTCTTAAAATGTCGTTCAATATTACTTTTCTTGGGAATCGCAACACTATTATTACACAGCAAACAAATACACTTCCCTTTGTAATCAACGAAACAATAGATATGTTCCCATTCATCGTTAAAATAATATCTTTTCTTTTACATTTATTAATGAAGGGTTTTGAAAGAAAAGAATTATTTCGGATTACTTGGTAGTTTTAAATGCACGGTCTACGCGTGGTCTATTCGAAATACGATCACACACTAACAAAAAATACGTGCGTGTTATTAGATAATCTCAAGGTTAGCAAACTGCTAATCTATGCACAATCCTAACAGGACTTAGAAGAGAAGGGCTAGCTCATAGAGCTTTTCCACTGAAGCAGAAAGTGAGAAGTGATGACGTAGCTATGATGACGCTGAGCGCGCCAATATAATTCACAGCTTGAAAATTAGCGTTTTTGAACCAGCGTTTAAAATGAGCTGTGTGTGAAAGATAGCTATGATTTGGAAGAGGCAATGTTACTGCTTTATGAATTTTAGACTAGACCATTAAAAAATTTAATAATACTTACTCAATTTTAAAATAATAGATAAAATGTGCTACTCTTTTAACATAAAGTTCCGTGGTTTTTTTAATTTTTATTTGCAGGTTTTTTTATTTAATGCACGTTTATTTCTAATCATTTCTTTATTTGCATGCTAACTGAGAGAATTTTTATGCTGCTTCTAAGATAACTATAATAGCAGCTATTTAAATTTACTCAAAAAAAAACAA